GATGCAGATCAGATTCTCACCAGGCAGAAGAAAGAAGATAGAGAGGGAGGAAGTGAGGATTGTTGATGAGTGTAGTGAAGGAGGAAGTGATGTTGTGATCTTGAGGAGTGAGTGATGAGTTGTGAAGTAAGGAAGAAGGAGAATGAAGGAAAAAGAGGTAATACAGAATGAAGAGAATGAACAGCGGGAAATGAGACATAAGACATGTCACAGAATAATCACAAATTTCTACATAGGGTTGAGGGTGCCTTTTGTCAACAAGTGCTCACCAATATAAACCTTCATTCCTCCCTAAGGGAACACATCTTTGGCTGGAGCATTGGAGGCATGTCCTGGTCATCCAAAGCGCTTAATTGGGCCTATGAAGGTTTTGTTTTGGGGTTATGAGATAATCTTTCTCAGGGTAAGGGATACCCCTGCACTGAGTTTCAACCCTCTATTTGGGTCACAAAGACCAATAAAAAATCAGGCCCTCTCCTATGCTTAGGTAAGAGTGTGAGGTGGGTCAACTTTGCCTGGCACTTGATGATGGTGTCATCTACCCTTACCTAAATATGTACAGCAACACATCTGTGTGAACATGTAGGTCTATTGTGGAAATCTGAAGCAGGAGTAGGCTTTCCCCAAGACATCTGAGTGGCAGTCACCTCATAATAATGAAAAGGACTACCACCAACACTGGGGCCAGGATTTCTATAAAAGACTATCTGCATTTGTGCAGTATTTGGTCTACTGTGAGTGACCCTACTTTACATGCAGGTTTTGTTACCAAAGGTTCACAAGTGCATTGGCTTGGTATTAAGGGCATCCAAATTTGACGGGTTAGGTTGCCAAGTTAAGACTACTCAACCTGACAAGGCAGCCAACCACACTGGGCCCGGGCTGACCTGGGTCTGCTACCCTGCAGGCTAAGTGTCTACAAATTTGTAGACACTTAGCCTGCGGGTTAAGGGCATAAATGTGCATCTCTGCTGTTCAGCGAAGAATTCATGTAAACCAGCGGTCAACAAGTCCAACCAATGCAGTTCAGGTTAGCTTAACCCACACAAGCAATTGCAGGTCAACTAACCAGCTTTTTAACCAAACAAATGTGGATTCCCTAAGTCCTACATTTTGTTCAACTCACCAGAGCTGTTGTACCTATCCTCTCAAAATGTTGTACCCATCCTTGTCTTCCCTCCCCTCCCCAGAACCTTGCAGTAAGTATGGGAAGGAAAAGCTCATTTCTCACACCTTCCAACACCTGTATCTTGATGGACACACATTATATATCAAGCTCTACATCATAGAACTTGAGGGGAGGAAAGATAAACAATAGGTGGTCTTGAAGGGCCAAAGCAGGCCTTCGTTTTGATACAATGGCGACCCTGTGGGACTGCCCGAAGGTGGGCCACTGGGCTGTCCAAATCAGGTACCACCAAAATGGCAGATCAGAGGATCCGGATCCACGCCCAAAAAACAGTATTAGCCCGGTTCACGCAGCTGCTTGCAGTTAAAATCTGGTGACAAGCAAGCTTTCAACCAAGGCTAGAATGAAGTTTGACATTATAATAACACCGGGACAATTGTAACGAGCAGACATCTAATTTTATCCGAGCAAGAAGGGGCTTTTTTAGACGTGTGCGTAAATACGCCCTACGTGAACCGCCCTCCGGTCGGCGCATTAATGCAACAGGTACTTCACTCCTCGGCGGGTACTTGTGTTAAGTTCGGCTCAACAGGGGGCTCACAATTTCAACCCCCCGAAGGAATCTAGTCAAAAAAAAGGTGTTGGAAAAGCCACCTCAAACAAATTTAACAAAAAATGTTATATCTGATTGGGATTGGCATGTCCTCACCTGAGGACATCACTCTCAGCGGATTAAAAACGATCAAAGCATGCAAGAAGGTATACCTCGAAGGATACACCAGCGTGTTGATTGATTCACAAGTGGAGGATTTGGTGGGTCACTTCTCTAGTCGTGTTTTGCCCTTGATGTATAAATTATCCTTCATTCTGATTAGTTTATCAAAGCTTCCCTTCTCTTCAATCATACCTGGTTTGATCTACGATGGTCGTTTATATGTTTCTCATTAGCAAGCCCTGTATGGCACCGACATTACCGTGGCCGACAGAGACTTCATCGAAACTCGAGCAGATGAAATCCTAGACCAGGCCGCCGAAGAGGATGTTTCGCTTTTAGTTGTGGGTGACCCTTTTGGGTGAGTCTGTCCTCTAGGCAGGATATAGAAAGACCCTCGTGAAATGTTAAAAGCTACCCAAGGCGTTTTCCCTGCATTCGTGTCCAGTCGAAGTAGCAGTCGGAACTGACAAAACTTGCAAACCTCGAAACTGCATCATCAACAGCGCAACAACACATGCGGATCTATTATTGAGATGTACCAATAAGGGAATCAAATATCGAGTGATACATAACGTGTCGATTCTGAATGCCATTGGATCAGTCGGAATCAACCTATACCACTTCGGCCAGACAGTCTCGATTCCATTCTTCAATGCTAACTGGAGACCTAAAAGCTGGTTCAAAAAAATCAACCAAAACTTTGCCCTGGGCTTGCATACCTTGTGTTTACTCGATATCAAAGTCAAAGAGCAATCCGACGAGAATTTGGCTAGGTTGGTTACTTATTTTTCCTAAAAAAAAAAAGAAGAAAAGCTTAATTTAGTTTCTTTTGAATATTTGAACTCGCTAGAGGTCGGAAGATATACGAAAAGCCGCGGTATATGACGATTACGACAGCGATTGAGCAAATTAAATCGATCATAGAAGAGATGAAGCAAGCAAAGAAGGAAGATGGGGAGAAAGAGGAAGAGGAGCAGACGGAGGAGAAGTACGAGAACAGTCTGACGGACCCGGCGCAAATATTATGTATAGCGGCATGCAGGGTGACCTCGAAGAGCGAGAAGTTTGTCGTCGGAAGCATGGCCGAATTCGCCAGATTAGAGCCCGACTATTTCGGCCCCCCACTGCATTCTTTAATAATCCTCGGCCACCATCCTCTCCGGAAAAGCCTCAACCCTCTCGAGATTGAATTCCTGGCTGGCTTTGCCATCGATAAGCAGGCTTGGCGCACCCTCACTGCCCCTTCCGGCACTCAATCAGCAGCGTGACTCGCTGTCTCTCTGTTTTCTCATCCTCCATTATAGTCTCCTTTTCATCTACCCTTGACCTGTCATCAAGAATAATTTGGTTGTTCGCCTCTTTCCTATGACCATCTCTCACCCTCTAGAGAATCCTGGAAACACCAACACTTTAGCCCAACAGAAGAGCTCTCGCTAACCTTGAGAAAGATGGGTCCCGACTCAGCTGTCTGATGGATCGTGGGCCTCCCAATATCCTTTTCCTGGCCATACCAAACATGCAAGCACCCTAGCTAGATTACCCAAGCATGAGTACATAGCAACAACTATAATGCCTTGATCTTCTGATGAATGTCCCATTGGCACATATTGAGCATCAGCAAGTGCCAAAACAAGAAAGAGTATAAGAAGATTCCATGCATGTATTGTCAACATGATTGTATCAGCTTCCCAAAATTCCGCCTGGCATTCAACATAAAAAGCACATAATTGATCCAAGAAAACAGAAATTATTTTTACCAGAACTAATACCCTATCCACATTAGATAGATAAGCTTACCATCCCTTGAGAAGTTTGGTATATTTCAACAAGGTTACTGAGGCCAATTGGCTGGCATTAGAGGACTAACCTTATGCCTGGTCTTGCTGATGTACGGGTCCAAATTAACTGGTCACTTATCTCTGCCAAGAATGATCTCATACCAGGTATTGCATCTACCCAGCCCAACTTGCATGACATGAAAAAACATGAAATGGAGCCAGATATGTCAAATCTGGTAATATTTTGAGTTAAGAATTTGATGCGGTGAGGGACAATCTCAGGGGTCAGAGATTGGACCAAGGAGCTGATTGGTGTCTCGGGAAAATTTTGCTCAGACTTGATGATTTTATTATCAGGCAGTAGACTACTGATTATTAAATACAATAAGAAGAGAGGCTGAATTGTGGTTGAACAAAGTAGATTGGTACATGCATTTCTTATAGGAACTATAAGCAAGGATAAATGACAGGTGATGGTAAGCTGTAACAGCCAGGTGACAAATGTTTTGAGCTGGAACAGCAGATGAAGACAAGCTGGCACAGCTGATTTTTGAGACAGAAGGAGGATGTGAGTGGAATAATGACTTGATATTCTGACAAAATCTGATGCAATTACAAAGGGCACAGGGCCCACAAGGAATACATTTTGCATGCCACACCAAAAAATGTCATTGATCCCCCCCATGTCCAAGGCCCAAGCAAAATTGTGGAGTTGAGTGCAGAAGAAGGGGTAAAAGAGGATTGGAAACCTCCAGTGGAAGAGAGAACTCCAACTGCAAGTACGCAATTCACCTCATTAGATTAGGTCAATGCTTGTATCTAGATCTATTTCTCCAGTTGTATTTCCTTTTCATTCATCCTCTTCTCTTTTTTCCTCTGCCATCACTCCTCAATAGGTGATGAATCATGCCCTCCTCCTATTCATTTGATCTTGGTCTCCCCTCAAGGATCCCTTTCATCAGATTGTGGGGCATTGGTGTTTCTCACCAACCACTGCAGGTCCAGAATTTTTGGATCTCAGGGGATGAGAATGAAGCAGACACATTTTTCTGGATGGTGATTAGAGGTATATCTGGTGTGTGCCTGTGATAGGGAAGATGTGTTCATGATGAACATGGATGATTGATAAGGTTGGGCATGATGGAAGTGAGACATACAAGCCCACACATTTAGATAGGCTACTCTTACATATAGAGGGTTTGTGGCAAGTATGAAAAAGGACTCATTCATGGGGTCTATAGTACCACCAGTAAATCTTGACAGTTAGTTTTCTATGTTTGTCATCATAGAAATACACACCACCATTAAACTGCCTCACACTGCCTGCAGGAAAATCTGATAATTAATAAAAGGTGCCGCTGGGGAGCCGAAATTTCAATGCCTCAATGGTGGATTGAACACCAGACCTTTCCATAAGACACATGCCACGTCGCGAGTGTAAGGCTCACGGGAGCGACGATACGAGTGGAACGCTCTACCACTGAGCTATTAAGGCTAGCTATAGTATCCAGCCGTAGATTCAAATTATAACCACATTTTTACCGGAAGTAGGAGCTGAGCAAGCCACCCCTACCCTCTCCCCTTGTTCAAGAGCAGAACGAAACACATACAGCAGGAAATGAAAACGGAAGAAGGAAATAAAAGATGAGGGGCAAGCAAGAAGACGTCGAAAGTAAGAAAATACAAGTTGTCAAGAGGAATAGATGTAACTTTCTTGGAGGGAGGGGATTATAATTCTCTTCGCGGCAAGTTGGTGATGGTAGCTGTGGAAGGAGCAGAGGTAAGCCACGAAAACCAGCCACCGGAAGGTTTCTGCCAGTGCTTGTAGGCCACATAAACCAAGGCAGAGCCGGCGCCTATGAGGCCGCCAATGGAGAGATACAGCGTCAGTCGGTCCGTCGGCTTCTCCGCCCCTCCTGGGATCGACGAGTTCCTATAATCAAAGTAAGTCCATAACCAAGCTCATAGAAGGTCATGGGCAGGACAGGATGGATGGAACGCACGGATTCGTCGCAATCTCACATATGATCGGCCATAGATCCGCGTTCTGATCTGTCTTCATACTCACCGCAACCGGCACACGCAAACTTAATTTGCGACAATACACATCCGGCTGGACTTCATGTCTCTGTGAAAAAAGGGAGAACGAAGAGGGAAAAGTTGAGCATCATTACGACTGTTCCATGAACTAAATCCCCCTCAACTTGTTGGGCAAGATCCAGATCAGCCTTGCTTGCCACGAAGAGAGTAGGTACATGATCAACTTTGAATTGTTGCTAAAAAGAGAGTAACGGCGAGACAAGTATCAATTATTTTCACGCAAAGCACATTATTCCCAGATTTCTAAAATTGAGAAAAGACTGACTCTGAGATTGCTGATGTAGGAAAACGAATTTGTGTCTGAGCTGTCATAGACAAACACCAACACGTCGGCCATTCCCAGTTTCTTGGAATTTCTCAAAATCTGACTCGATTCCCAAGCTGCGAATTCTTGGACCTATTCCCAAGCCAAGCCAATAGAAAGGGAACGAAATTGTTGAGCTCGAAATACTGCTACAGTCTTTATGTAAGTCTCGTAATATACGGTGTAGAACTTACAACAAGATATTTTTCTGCCCCCTTGTACTCCACACTATTCACGACGGTAAGACTACCAGAATGGGTACTCTCCTCTATGTAACGCTTGCCCGCCAGGTTACGACATATGGCACTTTTCCCAGAGCCGACGGCCCCAAAGACGTAAATAAGATAGGTGGTACGATTCACCTTATTTTTCTTTTTCCGTTCTGCCTTGCGAGGTTTCGTGACGGTTAATGCAGTCGTTGTTGGGGTTGGGTAGCCAAGGTAGGCTAGGTAAGCCAGGGTGACTCTGGGATCTAGCAAAGTGGTCATGCTGAAATGCCATGGCTTCAGACAAACATTGCAAGTATGATGGGCAAGCTGAACTTCATATACCTCCATTGAGCCAGCCACCCTTGGAGCGTGACAGCACCTGCGTCATTGGTAACCGTAGTATCGGGAAAACCATGGTTAAGCCATGGATTACCAGGAGATGTACTGAAGAGATTGGTCAATTCCTCGTGGTTGAGTGCGCCGTCCAAGTCCTGATGTGTGGAATGCATGGGTAAGGAAAAGATATATAGACATTGGTCCATTTAAGTACAGGCGACAGTTGGGCCAACCTTATCAAATGCTTCGAATAAATCAGTAAAAAAGGTATACCCCGATGGACTCAGCTCGGCTGAGCAATCTACCGGGACATCGAATCTACAATGGTACTAGTCAATTGCGTGCTATTCGTTGTCAAAGAAATGTTACAAAATTCGCAGGCATTGGGCTAACAAACCTTGGAGATAGAAACGCTTCACGCAGACTCAAATCATCACCATAGCCGAATGCTCTTAGTACGCCCCAAACAGTCTCCATTCTTCCTTTTTGGATAAAGCACGTATGCAGGAATAAGAAGCCTTCCTCGGTGATATGACCTTCGTCCGTGACAAACAATGAATTTCTCTTCAGCACATCAGTTTTGATGGTTGTAAGTTCTTTTGATTGAAGGGGGACGCCAAAACATTTCCTCTGAGACAGGAATTGGCGTTTTTTTAGTTGATTAAAATGCTGAAATGTGTCAGACCAAGAAGCCATAGGAAGAAGAATATCAGGATGAATGTGGAGCCAATTGTTTACCTGAAACTCGTGCAATTCCTCGTCATCCAACACTTGATCTTTGTTCGTGTCGCTGAGCTTGAATATCCGGATGAGAGCATCAATGCAGGCAGGTTTCATGATCTTCACAAGTAAATTAAAGCAGGAAAAAAAATGTTAATCCTGAGTGAGAAGTGCCATGCCTCAAGCGGAAGAATGTGAGAAAGTACATGTTCCCGAGAGTCGTAAAGGGGTGCGGTGGGATGGAGGACGGCATTTTGAGCAAGATAAAAGGTTTCGCTGATGTTCTGTTTTCAAATTAGGAATCATGACTGTATTAGCGGATTTGTGGAGGACTCTGATGAAAGCATTCGGATAGGTGATTTACGACTGAGGCCAGGGCACTACATTCTATGCAAGTTTCGACTTCTTTAAATTCCCTCATAAGTGGTGCGAGTTCTGTAAGAAAAAGTAAAACATTAAAAATTTTGCTTGTCACCGACGAGCTGGCGATGAGTTGAGAGCCTGCCAACCTGACTGAAAAGCTTCATTTGAAACATCATTTCCGCCTCTCAGATCGAGTTTATTACCGACGAGGATAACGGGTCTAAAAATTGCGAGACACGGGGAATGGTTGTGGATGGATTGATCATGGAAAACATTTTTCCTATGAGTATATGTGTACATAGAAATGAGGGGGAAAACATGAAATTGGCCATGTACCTACACATTCACTCCCAAGGATCGGATAGTTGGAAGCCAGTAGGTTGTAATCCTGTCAAACGATACAGGGGCCTCGACAGAGTATATGATGACGACGACGTGGGCCTTCCTGATTTCAGATTCTAGATGATAGCGATCTTCCGTTCGGGCTACAGAGAAGGTTTCAAGAAGGCTACTCAATCTTCTGTTCAGATGAGGCCACGGTTAAATCTATTTACAGGATGTATCGATTAGGTGGGTGGTGATGTCCGGGGTGACCTCTGGAGGAATAGATACTTCCGGTAGGACCAGTCCTGGTGGAAGGTCGTAGAATCGTTCTTTGATCAGGGAGGTGATAATCGTACTAGATGATGCCACAGCCCAATGGGTCAGCACGACATTAACAACAAGCATGGCAAGACTGACGCACCTCTTTCCGACGCCATCGTCTCCGCAAACAACGACCCTGATATCTCTCCGTGTCATGTCCGCTTGAAGCTAGTCCGTGTGAGCTGTCGATGGTGGTGGTTGCCTCCGTAGTTGATACTTAAATTTTTTCGCTTGGCTCGGGTACTCCCGTTGGCAGTGTTCGCTGTGTAGCAGGCTGCAGCCGGGAGAAGCATATGCTTATACTGGGAGCCGCACTGCAAGGGCGGCGCTGCGGCCCAGCTCGCAGCATCCGACCATCCCAGCCGAAATGGCTTGTGGACCTTTTCTCGGCGGAACCCTTCCAGCAACCACCAACAATGCTTCCACCACGAGCCAGGTCGATATGTCGATCCTTCAGCAGGAAACATCCTCGCTCATTCGAACCCACCATCCTCAGCCCCCTCCTTCGCCATTCAGTTTCCACCTCGTACCGCAACCTAAGCTTGAGAGCTTCTCCCTCTACCATCGACGTGAGTTCTTTCCCCCAGAAACTGTTACGAAGAAAATGGCACTCATGCGACGACTAAATTTTCTTCTTGAACGCCCAGGTTTCTGGTTTGGTTATCAAGACTACCGATGCACCCAGGCCAAAAGTTCCCGCGTCAGAATTAAAATTTGGCCAAACGTTCACTGACCACATGCTAGTGGTCAACTGGACCGCACAAAATGGATGGGAAACACCCGAAATCATGCCCTATGGAAGCTTGCAAATCGACCCCTCGGCTTCCGTCTTCCATTATGCCACCTGCCTGTTCGAGGGCATGAAAGCTTACAAATCTCGTGATGGCAAAATCCGTCTCTTTCGTCCTGAGATGAACATGAAACGAATGAACCAAAGTGCTCAACGTTTGGCATTTCCAGTTTTGTAACTTTTTTTTCTGTCTCTGCCAGGCAACCCATCTTCCTAGTGAAACGGCCGAACATGCTTCCTTCACCACCTTTTGCGCATTCACTAATCTATCGTTGACTTGACATTCACCGTAGAATCTTGACGGCAATCGCATACTCGAGTTGATCAAGAAGTTAGTTCAAATTGAGGGAGAATGAATTCCGACTGAAGCTGGACATTCGTTGTGCATTCGACCCACAATAATCGGTTCAGGTCCCGGTCTGGGAGTGGGACCTCCAAGAGAGCTGACGTTATTCGTAAGTTGCTCGCCCGTCGGACCTTACTACCGCACCGGTTTCAAACCCATCTCCTTGCTCGCTAGCTCCAAGTACTGCCGGGCGTGGCCTGGTGGATCAGGTGCCTTCAAGCTGGACGCTAATTATCCCACTGGATTCTTGCCTCAGATGGAGAGGAGGGAGGAATAACCACGCCTCCTTTGGGATGCTGGGCTGCACTAAGAGCCAGAACTGTAAAGCCTACCTAGATTGAGTTGGAGAGAGAAAGAGGATGAGGAATGTAGCTGGGCTCTCTACAGACTGGGGTCTAGGGGAGAACGTGTGATGTGGATGAAGAGAATCAAGTTGATTTCACTGAAGATGAAATTGAGAGAACCTGGAGTGCGAACTCCTACAAGAGAGGGGATAGATATATCCCCCTAGAGAGTGACAACAACTGGAAGATACAAGTAAGATGAACCACAACTAAGCCGTCTCGGCTAACAAATGAATAGAATGAGATTATGAGTGCAGTCGTAACGGAAACAACCCGGATCTAATGCCGGGAGTGCAGAAGCCTCCTGTTTCCTGCAGGTGGCTTCGGCAATGCAGAGG